TTTTTTATTTTTCTTTTTTCATACTTTCTATACATATTCAAATTTTGTTTTTTTATTACTTTCTTCTATAATTCATTATTTATTGTCATATAATTTATAAGTATAAAGTAATGTAAATTTTTCAAAACAAATTATATTCTTTGTTTTATTTTTTTTAATTGTAACAAACATGGCCATTTGGTCAAAGTAGTGGTCAATTAAGAAAGTAACACATTACATTTTCAATTTTATCCTTCTGTCCATCTGGAAAACGATCAGATAAATTTAAATAAAAAATATTACAATAGAACTCGAGAAATTTGCCACTTTAAGCAGAAAATAACATCACATGTTTCATTTCAATTTTTGTCATTCTGATTGTATTATATTATAATATGTAGCTCTCATCAAATGAAAAATGAAAAATGAAGTTTAAATAAGTTATAAAAATATATTCTTTTCATTTGAATTCTACGATTATGAATAACTTTTCTAATATTCTCTTCATATCCATATTTATTAATATTTCTTCCGTGGCTTACTATCACTAAAGCTTTTTCAATATTTTATTACAGCAATTAAATTTTAACTATTAATTAAGCTATACAAGGAATAAATCTTAAATCAATAAAAATAATTGATTAGCTAAAGTGATCGAATTTAACTACTAATTAAACTATACAGAAAATGAATCTTAAATTAACAGAAAAAAAAGTGATCAAGTGGAATATCTACGATCAATCATTTTAAATATCTACGATAATTTCTCTTACAATACATCTCAATAAATAAACTATAGATTTGAAATTTGTTTAATTTCTCTGATGTACGTTCGGAATCATTATCAGTCCTCTTTTCATTTATATTAATAATATATTTAATCATAATAACAAGTTCTCTTCGGCGATATTTATATTTGGAAGAGCCAATTCAGGAATTTTAATTAGTTTTTGTTCTTTCAGGGGTGGTACCACTCATCCAATGTCAAAATGGATGCGTCATGTATTTTTGAAAACGTTACCCAAATATTTGTTCATCGAGCCACCGGAAGATGATGCTTCCGAGGAAAGCAGCAATCGATCATCAGGTAAATCAGATTTCTTTCAAAAGCTCTTTTTACTTAAAACCAAATTAAATTCAAATGAAAAAATCATCAAATTTTGACAATAAGTCCTGGACGAAAATAATATTCATCATTATCATCATCATTAATCATCATCATAATACCCAGCAACCTTTTACAATTTTTTTTAATTCATAAAGAAAAATAAAATTTTCGAACTTTGCAATAACAAAATTCTCTTGAAGTTATAAGCTTTTTTCATTTTCAACCAAAGATGATTATTCAAAAATTTAAATTCATATTTCAGATTTATTATCAAATTCAACATCTCGTCGAACAAGTCCTTGTTTTTTATCGATTAACAATTTAATCGATGGTCAAATGCGATTATCACAATTGGCACAACTTCGTGGAATGCATCCAGATTTAATTCGTCGTATGATTGATAATGTATCTTTTATTGCTGATCATTTTCGAGCAATGAAAAAACGTGATCAAGTATGTCTTCTTTTTTCTTTTCTTTTACAAATTAACTATCAGTTAGGATTGCTTATTAATTTCGAATTTCATTTACATATATTTTTCTTTTCTGTTTTTCTTTTCTCAATGATTAATAAATTTTTAAATTTACTAAAAATACAGGTATCGGAAGATTGGTGCTACATATCAATGGTGCTAGATCGATTGATGCTGATGATTTTTAGTGTGATCAACGTATTTGGTACTCTCATCATTCTTCTTCAATCACCCGTACTTTATGATAGTCGACCACCGATGACCATTAATCCCGCTAGTAAACCACTGAGCGGTGACACATTCGAATTATTCATTAACAGCTCATATGTACAGTAATATTTTGAATAAAATTTCGCGATTGCAAGAATTTTCATGATTGGAAATACAACTTATCTTCTTACATCTTTACTGAAAAGCTACAATTAGAAGTCAGTTTGTCATCATTTTAACAAAGTTGTCACGAAATGATAGTAAACTGAGATATGCATGCATTTAGTGATAATAGCAAATTGAAATATGCATGTATTTAATGATGATAGCAGGCCGAGACATGCATGCAGCACTGATAATAACAAACAAAGATTGACATGTAGTAGTCAAATTATGCTAGCTGATAGAAGATTGCTTGTTTGAAATCATTTATTCTTTCTCGAATAGACAAACCTTTCTGACTCTTTTGCAAGCCTATGAAAAGGAGTTAAATGCTAAAAAAATGGAATTAAATGTGTAAAAAAAGCAATTTTTCGGCTGATTTCCTCATCTTTTTCTTGTTCATTACGTAAGCAAAATTTGATTTGATGCATCATTTCGACCGATGTTTAAGAAAGAAATCGTTAGTATGAATGCAATTACCGCCAATGGAACTATGAAATATCACCGTTATTTGCGGAGAAAATTTTGTTAATCTATAAAGAAAGAAATTATTCGATCAGAACAACAATTTTATGCTATTTCGTTCATATCGAATGAGACATTCATCAGCACTTCATGATATTCATGACTTTGATTTATTAATGAATACTCCTTTCTCGTTTATAGTACCATCTCTTACTTACTTTTTGAAAAGGGTAGCTTGAAGTTAGGGTGTAGAGAACTTACGTATGTGCTTCTGTACGTGTACTCTATGACGAACACGTCACATCACATATTTGTCGAGCTATGATATCGATGATATATGACAGAGAGAGTATTTATGAAATATATGCGTGGACATTTTGAGCATAATGAAAGTAATGACGGGAAGTAATATTCAAATAAATAAATAAATAAACGGAATATGGAGCAAAGAGAACGGGATTGATATATCTGTTGAAATTCACATTTTATCTATTCAATAAATTGCCTAACTGCAATTATTCTCATCAGCTACAATGACCTTCTATCATTCTCGAATTATTAGTCAAGATGTCAGCTGGCTGCGTTAAATGATGTTTCTATTCTACGTCTCAATAAGTGAAATGATTGGGATGACGTGGTGATGGGAAGGGAGGTCATGTTGGTAGTGTGAATACAGGATTTAACGTATAGGTCGATTACCTTACGTGTGATCTTCGGTAGACAGTACCTGAAATGTACTTTTCACCATTCTGCTACAAATTTTCTCTACTTAAACTTGCTAATAAACATAGATGTTCCATGAAATGAGTTGCTTTTTTGTTGTTTGTACATCAAATTTAACGTATAGGTCGATTATCTTACGTGTTATCTTCAGTAGACAGTACCTGAAATGTACTTTTTATCATTCTACTATAGACTTTCTCTACCTTACTTAAACTTGCTAGATAAACAAATATGTTCTATAAAATGAGATTTTTTTTGTAATGCTTTATTGTTTTGTACATCCTTTTTTGCCCATAAAATCCACAGGAATCATCATAGCTTACTTTCCATCCCTGTAAAATTAATAGGTCAAAGAAAGTAGTATGTAATTCATCAATTTAATTTATATTATACTTTTATGTTTTGTGTAAATTTGATAATTTCAAGGATGATTTTTGAGAGAAAAAATGGTAATAAATGAATAAAAAAGAATGAAGTGAGAAAGGGATGTTTGTAAAGATATTTTGTTGGATTCTGTTAAACTTTTACTCATTTATATTCTTTTCCGTACTTTTATAAGGATTTCTGCCTTTTATTTATGTATAAATAGTAAACCTCATCGAGAGAGAATGTAACATATTAATAGGATGGTAGGGCTATTTCAAGGTAATGTGTATTGTGAAGATGGCGCACGGGTGAATATCGCAACAGGAATGTATTAACTGCTTGAACTGTTGAAACAATTCAGACAGCTGTTTTGTTTGGTCTACTTGTTATCGGTGGTTTGTCGTTTGCTTTAGTGGAACTTATCTATGTTTAGTGATTGATCTATAGGTAAAAGCTGAAATTTGGAAAAATTTTGTTATCAGATTTGCTTGAGAATTTTATAAGTTTGTGAAAATGGAAGATTGAAATAGATAGAAAGTAATAGGTAAGGAAGTGAGTAATTTTTAGAATTCATTGATAATAAAGTTTTTCTTTTTCAGCAGCTGAAAAGTAGTATTTTATTTTCAGGATTGCTTTTATCGTTGATATATATTTTTTAATGCCAACTGTTAGTTACTTTCTTTCCATTTCAGATTACAGATTTGGTGTTTAAGATGAAAAGAGTGAATGATATCATTTTGTTGTTTTATTTTTGCATATATGTTTGTATGGGTTTCTATTTACCTGGCCTGGCACCAGTCAATTTTTGTGAAGAGGAAGTTGCGAAGCCATCATGTCCAGTACGATTTTTGTTTTTTGGAATATTTTGTATAGTTCATTTATATATTTTAGAATGTATTGTAAATGTTCTACCAATAACTATTTCTCTACATAAAGTATAATATAGCTATTCTTTTACCTAAAATATAATATCGCAATCTCATTTGCGCTTATTAGGTCAGGTCAGAAATACACTGTCTGTAATACATTCGCGTGATCAAGATGTGGTATCATAAGCATTTTATTACTGACATTATTTTATAATTGCCTATTACAGTTGTTTTATTTGATTTGTAATGGGTTTTTGATACATTCATTTTCTTATATTTACTAATAAAAATGCAACTATTTAAATCTTTACAAGTACTATTGCTTTTCAGAGTAACATAACTCTTTTTGTTAATCGTTTGGATAGCGACCAAAGTGTCATTCCATTTGAATATCACAGGTAAATTCTTTCTTTCACTTTGTTTCATAATACTTCATTTTTAAATTAATGTACAATACCTATGCACATAAAAACTTTTGTATTAGCTTTTGGCGTATTTCAGTTTTGATTTTTGTATTGGTAGTGAAAATGAATCGCCAGTAGAAAATCTCGGCCAAGTGCTGTTTGGAGAACGAATCAGACCTAGTCCCTATAAGGTATGAACCTTCTTAAGCATTGCTATAATTCATTATTTTCAAACTTTTTGAGATGAAATTGAAGAAATCCAAATGTTTATGGCATTAATGATTGATTGAATTTATCTTCTCGTAACCCTTTCTTGTTTGTTTATCCAGAATTAGTTTGACTGTTATCATTTTGAGCTTCATTCGAAAAAGACATATATTTATATCTGACGAAATAATATGTAACATTTCTCCAAATAATATGTAACATTCCTATGTAGCATTGTGCAATTGTGTAACAGTAAAAGATGTTGTGTGTTAACAAAATTATTCCAAAATAATAGAATTTTGATTCTTTGCAATTTTTAGATAAGCTTCAATAAACAAAAGCAATGCATGTTGCTGTGTGAAAGAAAATATGACAATGATCAAGATGCGCAGAAAAAAATGTGGTTACTTCGTAAAGGAATGAAATTAAATTATCAACATCACTGGTATTTTTTTAAAAATTATTTGTAGCTTTTTATTTAACTGTTAATGAAGATTCACATATTAGTGTTACATTTTTTAACATTTCAGTGGCATTCAGGATCAAACTCTATTAAAGTAAACTTAAGAACACATAGTGGAAATACTTTAAGAAATTTGTAGGTTTATATTGTATTTGATATGGCTGAAAAAAAAGGTAACAGATTCCTGATTATCCATATACAGCAATAATCCTATGAATCCATTTTAGGATATTAGACAATATGCCGGTGACATTCTGCTTCATCAATCAACAAAATCAGAATGTCTGTACAACAGGTTTCCCGATGGGCTGTTATGTGACGAGTGATGGTAAGCCGAAAGATGCATGTGTTTTAGATTCACGCTACAGACAGCCTGATAGCTACTACATCTTCAATCACGTCGATATTCTCATCGAATATCGCAACATGAGCCAGGATCCAAATTTCCTGGATGAACATGTAGGAGGTCGAATTATTCGCATCAAAGTACAGCCACGGAGCATCAAACATGAAGCAAAAGATAAGCTTGATTGCGGAATCACTGCGCAGCCGTTCGCCATAAAATCTGATGAAAATCCTAAAAGCATCATCTATACATACTCTGTTGTGTGGCAGGTTTGCCTTTTTAAGCTCTTTTTGATGAAAATTTGTGACAAAATTTTTTGAACATCAAGAAAAACTGTTTTTAGCGTTTATTAGCTTTGCTTTTAACTAAAATTTTTATATATAATTTGGTTTCTACAGTTTTATAATTTCATACGATTTTACAGTCTAGGTTAACCTAGCAGGATAGCATTTTTGATGTTCCCTTATGGCAAAAATTGCAGAGAACTCAGGTGAAGTGGTCTTCACGATGGGATTATATTCTAGATTCAGTTCCACATTCTAACATTCAGTGGTTCTCGATCTTGAATTCACTTGTCATCGTTTTATTCCTTTCTGGAATGGTAGTTCTTTTTCTGCATTAAGAGATTTATTCCTTTTTTTAGATTCGGAGATAAATGGACATTTTTTCTTTTTGTTGGCATGCTGGAATAATAATATTTGCATTTTAGGTGGGTATGATACTTCTTCGAACGCTTCATCGCGATATCATCCGATATAATCAGCTTGATAATGAGGTTAATTTTATTTATTATAAATATAATTTTGAAGGTTTAATTGTTTTTTAATTACATAATTACAATTCATGAATGCGAGATTTGAAAGGTATTTACCGTTATTTAAAGAAAGGTAAGAAATGTGCATTCGGACGTCCAGTCAGCCACATTAAAAATCTGCACTGTTTTATCAAAAATTTTGATTCTCCTCGAAAATTTTTTCAAATCATGTTCATATTTTAAAATGTGGAAAATTTGAGGAGGATGCTCAAGAAGAATTTGGTTGGAAATTGGTTCATGGTGATGTTTTCCGTCCACCGCAACATGCCATGTTTCTCTCTGTATTGGTTGGCAGTGGATGTCAAGTGCTTTTTATGGTTGCTGTCACTCTTGGTACAAGCTTATTACGATTATCTTACAATTTCGTAAAACTTTGGCTGCGTCTTATCTAGTTATAAAATGTTTAGTTCTTCGTCAGATTTTAAAAATTCCTTATTTAGAATCATTTTATGGATTTTTTGCATTCGAATCTTGCAAAAAAATCTCTAATGAAAGTGCGCAAACAAGTGGTACTTAGCCTTTGCATATTTTTTTGATTAATTCTTTGCCAGTAGTAATCTCCATTAAATCATGTCTACCGAGCAGAGGGGCACTTCAATAAAAAATTCAAAAAAGACCTACTAATTTAAAATGTATCTCTCTATTTTACAGTGTTTGCCTGTCTTGGTTTTTTATCACCCGCAAACCGTGGATCTCTAATGACCTTTGCGCTCGTTTTCTACGTCCTTTTTGGTATCGTTGCTGGTTACGTATCTGCAAGACTTTACAAAAGTAAAACTTTTTCAATAATTTGCTTCTAGTTATCTAATTTAATATTGAAATGAAGGTGATAATGAAAACATTATGTTTATGTTGTTTTTTTTAAAATACGTTTTTTACTGCAAGTACAACAGTATTGCATTCATGCATCTTTTCCGTAGAAGTTAGAATATGAACTTCTGTAATTGAAACACACTTAAATCGTTTATCTAATCATCCAGATTTTAGAAAATATAAAAAGTACTTCAATTTTCAGCAATGAATGGATTGGCCTGGAAGACTAATGTATTTATGACAAGTTTTCTTGTACCTGGGTATGTTTCTACTCTTTCATTCTTTTCAATTTTTTAAATGGACGAGAAAATCTGATAATTTTTCTAAATGAGTGAAAAAATTCAGTTTTCAAAGAGGTATAGTAAAACTCTTTCAAAAATATGTAAAAGTAAAGGGAATTTTATTGCAGAATCGTGTTTACAGTATTTTTCATTTCGAATCTGTTGCTGTGGGCAAAAGGTTCATCAGCAGCAGTGCCTTTCGGTACACTTGTTGTGCTTCTAATTCTTTGGCTTTTTGTCTCTATTCCGCTAACATTTATTGGATCCTATTTTGGCTTCAAGAAACGTGTAAGAAGATAATTTCATAATTTTATCTCGGATCTATTTTTGTTCTTTAGAGTACGATAAGATGCTGAGATATAGCTCTTGTCCATAGACAGATTTTGGAAAGTAACATTCAGTTAGATTATGCTTCACTTAGACTGCTCCCTAACATTTCTTACATTCACAGTTCTGTAATCTGTAAATCATATATGACATTGTATTGGACTTCTAGTAGGCTATGATATCCAATATTTCCACATTTCTTAATATGTTAACCATTTAGAAGTCCTTAATACATTAGTCATTAAAATATATTATAACTCTATTATTTGACACGATAAATACCTTGATATTTTATCAAATTCTAAAAAAGATTGAGCGGATAAACTTCATTTTTAAAATTTTTTAACAATTTTTCTAGAACATAAAAAATGCGAAGCTCAGTTTTTTTCTGAAAAGACAAAAATTTATTTTCTGTTTCTCTTCCAGCCAATTGAACATCCAGTACGCACAAATCAAATCCCGCGACAAGTACCAGATCAATCTTTGTACACGAAACCAATCGCAGGAATGCTTATGGGTGGTATTCTTCCGTTTGGATGTATTTTCATTCAGCTTTTCTTTATTCTCAATAGTATTTGGTAGGTTTTTGCTTATGAATTTATATCTTACATCAAAACTTGTAGTTCATTTGACTTTAACTTATCAAATTCAAAATGTTTTAAGGTATAGTTTTGATTGTGTTTGTGAAGTATCTTTAAAAAATTTTATCCCTAGAGAAGGATTTGGAAGCTGATTTTGACAGTCTTCTTTTTATCCCGTATACAGCAACTTAATTTTTTGTGGACATTATTTTTATTAGAAATCCTATTAAATACATGCAATATCTTGTTACAGGGCCCATCAGACATATTACATGTTTGGTTTTCTCTTTCTTGTTTTCTTGATCCTGTTTATAACATGCAGCGAAGCTACAGTGCTGCTTTGCTACTTCCATTTATGTGCTGAGGTAAAAGTATTGTTTATTATTATTATATATTACTTGACAAGTTATTTAATAGGACAATGAAAGCCCTACTGTTTGTAGTTCTAGCATGAAAAATAATTAAATTATAAGCAATAGAAATTTAATCTACAATTAAGTTATAGACATTGGAAATTTAGTTTCAAAATTTGATTCCTCCAGATTGGATATTTGACGCTAAATGCGTAATGTTTCGGTTGTTTTTGATTATAAAATCTGGAAAAATCGTTACTTCCATTATTATTGAGGAATAAAGATTTTGGGAATTGGATTGATATTTAAACATGGAAATTACATTTTTCTACACTTTGCAGGATTATCATTGGTGGTGGCGATCATTCTTGACTTCAGGCTTTACGGCAGTATATCTTTTTCTCTACTGTATTCATTACTTTATAGCGAAACTAACAATAACAGGCACCATATCAACCATCCTCTATTTCTCATATACTTTCATCATTGTCTTCATGTTCTTTTTAGCAACTGGTACTTTTTATTTTGTTATAGGAACATAGTCTGAGATTCAAAATAAGGTCATCCTTTCCCATTTTTGCGAAAACTATAGATTCATCACATGAGAATGACGAAGTAGCATTAAGTCAATGATAGTATATAATTTTAGGAGCAGTTGGTTTCTTGTCAGCATTCTTTTTCGTGGAAAAAATATACGGTTCTGTGAAAGTGGATTGATATTCATCTGCAAAAACAAAGAGTCGTTGTGCGATGCAAAAGGACGTTATTCTGGAAATAAATTTTTTTCTGTAATTTTCAAAATAATTTCTGTAAAATGTAAATCATGGTTCTAGGTGTTTTCACTAGAAATAACGACAGCGGCATGTGGTCAAATGGGAGTGAAATTGATTTAAAAAAATAATATATTGTAAATTCCATGAAGTTAACAGTTTCTCTCGTGCATTCCTCTCTTGAATAAAGGCAAGGAATTAAATTGAATTTGCTGAGATGTGGTCTGTGGCTTTCTAACTATTCGCATTATAATATCATTCTTTCAAGAGGCAGAATTAATCAGAATCCTTGTTGTTATTATTCTTTGTAACTTCATCGAATTAAGACAGTTCCAATATTTTTGTTTTTTATTTTTTTTTCTAGCGACACTGATTTTATATGTTGTTGTCATCCATGCTGTTTCGGTGACAAAATTTGGACTGCTTTGTTTTTGTGATGTTGAACTACGCATCTATCGAACTACCATAGTTTGCACAAAGGAAAAATTAGTTAAAAAATGTTTGTAAGTTCTGGAATTTTTTACATCTCCTGTTTTATTCTTTTTTTTGCTAAGAGGAAAACTGTTGTGTAATTGGATTCATACGGCAAGGCAAAGTTTTAGTCCTTTTCCTCATCAAAAGAATCTAAAATTCATGATTAAAATTAGAGAATTTGAAAAGTGAAAAATTGATTCGGATATTTACAAAAGTAAATGTACGCCTGAAGACTGAAACTCTCAAAAAAGTTTGCTGAATTTAGAATAAATTGAATTTACTGGTAATCATTTTACCACAATTGCGCCAACCTTTGCCTTTATTTTACTAACTTTATTGGTAACAAATGAGATCTTCCAGTTGTTTAAATCTTACTTAGCTTACAAGAACAAAATTTTTGCAAAAGAAAGTAATATTTTTTAATGATTAAAGGTCGGTAGTACAGATTAGTTGGGTTAATTCCTACCCTGTTATGAAAGATGCTGTAAGTTGTACCTGTGTGTATATGTCTCACTGTATATACATATTTGTATATGTATTTTATAGCTTTAACCATTTAGGCACAAGTGGGTAGATTTTACATATTTTAATACAGAAGACATCTTGTAATGTGAAATTTGAGAGAAAAAAAGAAGTAAGAATTTTAGAAATGTTAACAAAAGTTTGATCAAAACTGTGTTTATAATTTATTAAACTTTCTCCTCTACATTCTTCGTTCTTTTCCATCTTAAACTCTCTCCTCTACACATCCGTTTGAATTTTTAAACAAGTGCCCGGAGAAGTTATGTGTTTTTGAGAGAATATTTTGTTATATTAAAATTATTGCGCAGTGTGACATGTACAACTATCAGTTCGGATTATTATTATACAGTCTCTTTTTTATTTTTTTGGCGATTTTTGTGGTTGAATTCTAATTCTGAGTGAAGGAAGGAAGAAAATTATCGTGTTTTCATGTTGTTTGTAATATTATAAAATTGTATATCCATAATATTGTCATAAATATTTTCTTCAAATATTATTGCTAGCGTTTGTCTGTAAAATATTTTCAAGAGATGAAAATGGCGCTTAAACGTTAGTGATGTGATAAGCTGAATATTAATGAAAATATATTTGAAATAATTTTGAATCTGTTTGTTCTGAACTTATTTTACACTTTTCAACTGCTTTGAAGCTTAATTTTGTAGCATAACAATTGAAAAGTATAAAAATAACAAAATTAAACATGTCAGTCATTCATTTAATATTTGAAGATAAAAGTCTTCAAAGTCAGACTAGATAAAAAGATATCGTGCTAAGTTCCGTAGCTTATTCATTTCAATGTTCATGTTCCTCACAAGATCTATAGCTAACAATTTGCGTAAGTTCAATCTTTTGATACATCATTTCCTGATAGCAATGAAATTTTCCTACATGTATGTCATAGGCTTATAATCTAAAAATATACATAAAAGATGGAATGTAGTAAGAACGATAAATTGGTGGCAATCGATCATATATCACATGCGATTCATTTTTTTTTTTCTTAAGAATATCTAATTATTCTTTATAGCTAAGAAAGATTCAGAATCCAATAAGGAATGGGGAGTTTATACTCAAAAGTAGTATGTGTGCAAGGGAGAAGAGATTGCATTCGGCAAAAATTTGCAAAAATTGACATAAGTTTAGAGTGTTCGTGTACGTATACATTTACGTATGCATATATATATATATA